CAGCAGCAGCAGCAGCAGCAGCAGCAGCAGGGGTTTGCGGTGGTGGAGTGCGTGGTTTGCTGCGAAGAAACCCCGTGTGTTGCTGCTGGCTGCTGCAGCCACTTTTGCTGCTGGCTGTGCGCGCTGCGGCTGCGGCTGGGCCCCCGCAAGGCCCGCAGCTGTCCATTTTGCTTCAGCAGCACGCCGCTGCTGCTGCTGCTGTTTACGGGGGAAGCTGCTGCTCGTGTTGCAGTGCCTGGGCCCCTTGCTGCGCTGCTGCAGCCGCCGCTGTACGCTGCAGCAGCAGCAGCAGCACTGCCCCCCCACCTCGTAGCAGCAGCAGCAGGCCTTGCTTTCTCTTCTGCTGCTGTCAGGAGACACGTGGAGGCGCTGCTGCAGCTGCGCTGCTGGCAGCAGCCTTGCAGAGACAGCTGGCTGTTTTCTTATGTCTTTGCTGCTGACCTGCAGCAGCAGCAGCAGCAGATGCTGCTGGCCCTTGCTGCTGCAGCAGAAGCCAAGCAGCACGCCGCCCCGACGCCCCCCGCCGACAGCAGCAGCAGCAGCAGCAGCAGCAGCGGGGACTTCCTGGAGTTCACGGGGCCCCCCGACGAGCAGCAAGTGTACGGGTCTTTGTCTCAGCTGTCTGTACACCTCAACAAGCAGCACGCGCTGCAGCTTTGCTGCGTCTGTCTTTTGGGCAGCAACGGGCAGCTGCTGGCGCAGCAGCAGCTGCTGCCGCAGGCCCTTTACCGCGTGCACATGCAGCAGCAGCAGCAGCAGCAGCAGCGGGGGGGGCGCGGCGCGGACCCGGCGGCTGCAGCAGCAGCAGCAGCAGCAGCCGGGGTGTCTGTACACCCCAAGTGCAGCGTCTGCGGTGAACGTACACTCGACGGAGACGCGCTGCTGCTGCACTTTAGAGACTGCCACTTTTCTTGTCCTTTGTGTGAACAAGACTACCACCGTGCTGCTGCTGCTGCTGCTGCTGCAGCAGAACGCACTGCAGCAGAGCCCCCCCCGTCCGCAGAAATCGTCCCCGTGAGTGGCTGCTGCCCCTGCTGCTGCGCCGCTTCTCCCTTCTGCTGCTGCTGCTGCTGCTGCTGCTGCGTGCATTCTGTGCTTTTGCTCCTCGCGTCGGTGTTCTTCCTGCTGCTGCTGCTGCCGCTGTCGCGCTCACCCCATTACCGCTGCCGCTGCTGCTGCTGCTGCTACTGTCGCGCTCACCCACCCCCGCTGCCGCTGCTGCTGCTGCTGCTGCTGCTGCTGTTGCTGCAGGTGTTCCGGCAGCTGGAAGAGCTGCAGCAGCACTACACCCAAGAGCATTACCCGTGTCCCCACAGAGAGCTTTGCCCGCTTACGGTGTACAGACACCTCACGGACCTGCATGTGCACCTTGCTGCTGTTCACGGCGGCAGCAGCAGGCCCAGCAGCAGCAGCAGCAGCAGCAGCAGCAGCAGTGCCAGCGGCCGCGGGAGACAGCAGTACGGAGCTGGCGGCGCAGGCAGCAGCAGCAGCAACAACAGCAACAGCAACGACAGCACAAGCAGCAGCAGCAGCAGCAGCAGCACGAGGCCCCTCCCTCTGGCGCTGCAGGGAGACTATCCTGCTTACAGGCGGCTGCTGCTGAGTTACATGAAGAGACACAAAATCCAGCGGGAAGCAGCAAACGGCCAAGCTGCTGCTGCTGCTGCTGCTGCAGCAAGCGCGCCAGCGTCAGCAGCAAGCGCCGCAGCACCCGCAACAGCAGCACGGAGTGATGCAGCAGCAGCAGTCATCTGGAGGCCTCGAGGAAGCAGCGATGCGGATGCAGCAGCAGCAGCAGCAGCTGCTGCTGCTCCTGCGGCTGCTGACTCTTCAGCGAAGAGAGAGAACCTTGGCACTGGGGAGCTGCCGTGCAGCGGTAGCAACAGCGGCAGCAGCAGCAGCAGCAGCAGCAGCAGCAGCAGCAGCACTGAAGACATAAACTTCCGCCCTCCCCCGGGACTGGCGTCCCCCAGGTCACGTCAACAAGTAGCAGCAGCAGCAGCAATACCAGCAGCAGCTGCTGCTGCTGAAGGGCAGCAAGCAGCAGATAGTGGTGATCTTGAGGCTTCTGTTGCAACTAGCCCGTCTGCTGCTGCTGCTGCTGCTACGCGTGCTGCGCCCGTATGCGTTGCCGTCAGCAGCGCAGAGGCTCAGCGCTGCCCAGCAGCAGCAGCAACAGCAGCAGCTGCAGCAGCAGCAGCAAGCAGCATCCTGCCAACGTCAGTTGCGTTGGAACAACTCTTTGCTGCGCTGCCGGAGCAGCAGCAGCAGCGGCAGGTTGCTTCTGCTGTTGCGGAGGCAAGCCGTGCTGCTGCTGCTGCTGTGCTGCTGCTGCCAGACGATGAGAGCAAACGTATATCTAGGCTTTCGCTGGAGCTGCTGCAGCAGCTGCTGGAGCCTCAGCAGCAGAAGCAGCTGCGCAGCATTGCTGCCTCCATGACTGCAGCAGATCAACAGCTGCAGCAGCAGCAGCAGCGGGAGCAGCAGCAGCAGCAGCAGCAACAGCAGCTTGTGCAGGGAAGCAAACTGAAGCAGCTGAAGCAGCAGCGGCAGCAGCTCTTTGAGGACTTCATTGCACAGGGCGTCTCGATCATCTTCAGCGGCAGCAGCAGCAGCAGCAGCAGTAGTAGTAGCAGCAGCAAGGGGGACATGCTGCTGCTGCGAAATGTCACAGAATCCGCAGGCGCGCAGCTGCCGCAAACGCAGCAAGGGCTGCTGCTGCTGTCTCTGGCTTTGGGGGCTTCAGACTCTTCGAAGCGTTTGCTGCTGGCGCAGGCGCTGCAGCGAGTTGCTGCGCTTCTGCAGCAGCAGCAACAGCAGCAGCAGCAGCAGCAGGAAGAACAGCAGCAGCAGGAGGAAGCAAGCGCTGAGCAGCAAAAGAAGCCCTTGTCGCTGGCGAGCGCCCTAAGTACGTCTGCTGCTGCGCCGCGCGCTGCTGCCAGCTCTCCCGCCGCAGCAGCAGCAGCAGCAGGAGCAGCGGGGAGCCCGGGAGCAGCAGCAACTACTTGTGTTATTAGCCAGGAGGAGCTGGAGCAGCAGCAGCAACGGAGAAACGTGCTGCAGCAACTTTCTGCAGCAGATTTGCCATTTACTGCTTCGACTTCCTTCTTGGAGGCCTTGGGCTTTCTGCTGCAGCAGGTTCACAGCAGCAGCAGCAGCACTGGCGGGCAGCAGCAGCAGCAAAAGACCAAGAAGGGAAAGCTCCTGCAGCAGCACACGCAGCGCCTGAGGCAGCAGCGCATCCAGACGGGCAATGCCTGGGGAGCTCAAACAGAGCAGCAGCAGCAGCAGCAGCAGCAG